GGGGGAGGGGACGGAGGTCCGGGGCATGGGCGGGGAAGGGGTGTACCGCATCCTGCTCGAGGCTCGAGGCGTGAGACCTCGCAGGGGAGGCGGAGGACGGGGGCAGGCGAGACCGCGCTTGAGAAGATAGGCCCGTTGCCGCGCCCCGCTTCTCCTTGCCAGAACTAGGGACCCATCCGGGCTCATGCAGATATACTCTGGAGAGGTGGGCCGCTAACCTCGGACTTTTAATGTTACGTATTGCTCTCAACCGTAAAAGCGATGATGAGGAGCGGTTAGCGCATGTGCTTTCGGGGCACCTCTCGGAAACCATTAGGTGTCCGCGTCATTCCAATAATTAAGGGTCTACCCCCTTCAACAAATTAGGTTCCACCCTCTTCCAACAAGTGAGGGTCCACCCCATTCCAAAAACTGAGGGTCCACATTCAGGGTCCATCTTAGACTTCGTCTGCACCGCACTTCTGAGCCCCTGGGCAGAGGGGTTGTCTTGGGTCTGCGGTGTCAGTTGTCGAGTCTCGGGGCGGCCGCGCGGGCTTCCACAACCTTCATTACTCCACGAGGCGGGCCGGTCTTCAGAAGCCAGGGGCGGGGCGAAAAGGGCCACGCTTTGTTGACGTTGGGTTTTCTTCAGTTGCCGCCGAAATGCATGCCATGTCCGTTGCGTCTTGAATGCTGGGTGCGACTGCCTGTCTGTTCTGTGGCATTCGAGCCGCGCACCTGCCCGCGGGAGTCGATGTTGTCAAGGGCAAGCAAACTGAAACCAGTCGAGCACTTCCCAGAGGTCCCGAAAATGCCCCGAGAGGCCCCCGATGAGCCCCCCAAAGGCTCTGGGAAGCCTATTCGACAGCCCAAGAGTGGCCCCAGGGATCTTCAAGAGCCCTACATGAAAACAAACAACCAAACGGTCTTCCACAAACCGTTTGATCCATACCAAACGATATCCTACGGATCATTTGATCGGAGCCAGCGCGGCCCAAGCAGACGCCCCGCAAAAGCGGGACGACCGAGGAGCACAAACGGGAACATGCGCCATGTGTTTCTTCGAGCTCTATGGAGAACTGCTTCGGGTCTTCTTGAGGCCCTCCTGGGGCCCTCTTGGGGCCCTGTTGGAACTAGGTGTAGGCCCCCCTCGGCCCGACACTTGGCTCCTGGACGGACCCTCTTGGAACCGACTTGGGGTCTTCCCGACGTCATCTTGGAGCCTTTCTGGGCCTTCTTGGCCCCACTTGGGGCTCTCTTGGTCGCATCCGCGGCTGCCTCAGCCTAGCGGTCGGGCAGCGTAGCTCGAAAGAGTCGCGGGGTGAGTTCCAGCTCTTGTGCGTGGTCATGATAGTTTATTCCTGATTGGAATCACAATTTGAGGGTCCACTGGGTTCGTCTTCTGGGCATGGGAAGTATCCATTATGTTTACTGAGGGAACTTCATGTTGAGTCGGCGTAGAGGCCGCAGGGTAAACCGCAGCATCCGCCGCTACTTGTTTTACCAGTCCTTCTCTTCTCTTCTCCTCCTCCTCCTCCTCCTCCTCCTCCTCCTCCTCCTCCCTGATTGTGGTGACGCCTACCCGACTGGCCTTTCAGAGTTCTGCGCCGCCGCTTTCGCGCTTGAGGATGGTGGGGAGCGGATTTGAGCAGCGTGGTTGGCAACACCTGTCATTCGCATTGTCTGTTTAAGCCCGAGTCCGGGGCCACTGCAGGTGCTTTTGCATTCGTCACCGCACGGAGCACTGGCAAAGCGAGCGAACCTTCAGGCGATTTCTTCACACAAAAAATACAGAGGGAACTGCTTCGCTGGAAAACATCTGCTTGAAGACCCTGAAGCATGCCAAAACAGTGTTCTCGGGATTCCAACGCCACGGATCTACCTGACTGTTGCATCTTGACGATCCTGAATCGTGCCAGAACGCCGTTCCTGGAACTTGAGCGCAGCGAAACAACATATGCTGTGCACCCCAATAGACCCGAATCCTTTCAAAGTACGAATCCGTGAAACTCGTTTGCAGATGTTTACGACGAATGTGCGCAGCGCTAAGGCGAGTGCCACATTTTACAAACGATTCGCCGTCAATCCGTGAAATTCCTGCAAATGTTAAGGACGAGTGTGCGCGGCGCTAGGACGGAAACCAAATTTTGTAAACGGCTCGCCCTCAATCCGTGACGCACCTGCAACTGTTTACAACGAATGTTCGCGGTGCTAAGGCGAGAGCCACATTTTGAAAACGACCCGCCCTCCATCTGTAAAGCTGTTGTCAATATGTAATCTTCAGAATCATAAATGGTGAGGAAGTCTCAGGCAAAACGCCCGGCCTGCCCTAAAAACTGGCCTCGGGGTGCGACGGGGCGAAGTGATTTACAAGGAGAAGGAATGGAGGAGGAGGAGAAGAAGGAGGAGATGGAGGAGGTCGAGGAGGAGGAGGGGGAGGGGGAGGGGGAGGGGGAGTGGGAGGGAGAGGAGGGAAGGAGGAAAAGGAGTTGGAGGAGGAGGGGCGGAGAGAAGACAGAGAAGCCTGATGTTCTGGCACCTTCCGCGGTGGTTCGCCCCGAGGGGGACGGGGAGTGTCGACGCCCTCCGCGGGACGGCGTCCCCGGCATGCCCGTCCTCGTGCTCCAGGGCTGGCATTATGTTGGCGTGCGGTGTGCGACTCTCTGCTCGGGTCGGACGAAAACGTGGAGATAGGGTGAAGAAGAAAAACGCCAGAAACATAAACTTTCGGCGCTCCGCGCGGATTTCTTGGATCCGCGCTGGGCCTCCCTGGCGGCGCTTCCGGTGCCGCCCCTGGCGCGCTCCGCGCGCCAGGGGCGGGGGTCCAGCGCGGATTTAAGCAATCCGCGCGGAGTGCCAAAAGTTTATATTTATGGCATTGTTCTTCTTCTAAGCAGAGGGGGTCACGAAGTCTGCTGCACCCAGCTGGTTTCGGCCCCGCAGCCGGGCGCCAGGAGACGCTGGGGAATTCAGCTACGCAAGACGATTCGCTACAGTCGGACCGAGGTATAAGATCGATGTCGGTTCGGGGAGGGTGCCCTAGTGTTCTTCGTGCTTGTTGGATGTTCTTGTGAATCCTGGTGAGGGTACCTCTGGATGTTCTGTTCCTTTTGGCCGACGGGGGGTCTCATGCTTCAGAAGGGTGTTCATGTCTCTGGCCTGGGACGAGGGTTCAGACCAACCCGAGCTTTGGAGGGGTACCCTCATGTGCTTCGTGTGCGTGTGTGTGTGTGTGTGCGTGTGTGTGTGCGTGTGTGTGCGTGTGTGTGTGTGTATGTGTGTGTGTGTGTGTGTGTGTGTGTGTGTGTGTGTGTGTGTGTGTGTGTGTGTGTGTGTGTGTGTGTGTGTGTGTGTGTGTGTGTGTGTGTGTGTGTGTGTGGGGGGGGGCCCTCCACCTCCCCTGCCCTGCACGCCCCGAGCCCTACGGTTAAAACCATCCCGACGGGCGTGCGTCAGGAGGGGAGAAGAAGCACACACAGACACCAAGAATCCTCCACTCCCAGGAACATAATGGGAACATATGGGAAGTGGGGAGAAGACAAAGCCCCATCAGATATGGGAAAACATGGGGAATCTTGCTATCTGTGTGCTTTTTTTTGCGTGCCCCAGGGCCCCGTCAATGCGGTGTGGCCTGGCTCCCGCGGGCCCTATGGGGCCCTCGCCGCTCGAGAGGGCTCCCCGCGCGTGCCCCGCGCAGTCCCCGCGCACGGCCGGGGGGACGTCCGCCGCTGGGCGCGCCGCGCCGCCGTTTTTTCCCGGCCCCCCGCGCTTCGGCGCTCGGCACGCCGAGCGCTCCCAGAGCCCGCCAGCGGCACCGTTCCAGGGCTCCTCCCGGCCGCCCGCCCTGGAGACTGTTTTTCAGGGTCGGGCGATAATTAGCCCGGGTTATCGGGCTTGCCCCCCCCCCCTCCCCCCCTCCCCAGGATGACCCGACCTTGCCGGTTGTGCAGGTCCGCGGGCAGGGGGGGTGCGGGCATGTGCAGGGCTGCCCACGGCGCGAGGGTTAGGCTATCGGCCGGCCCCCAGGAGAGCCCGGGCTATCGCCGACCCCCCCCAAAAAGGTCTCCTGTGAAGCGGAGCGACACGCCGTCGGCTCGCACGGCGTGGCGCGTCGCATGGGCCCCCGGCCGCGACGCGCCGAGCCTCGAGCTCGTGGCCGCGGGTTCCGCAGTGCCACGTGCAGCGGCTCGAGGGGCCCCGCGTGCTCGCGGGAAGGTTCGGTCGGGAGCCCCGGTTGTTGGTTCTCCACGGCGCTGCGGGCGTCTCACGACGTCGGACCTGGGGTTCAGTCGGGCCTGTCCCGCTACAGCGGGAATATTCAAGAATCGTCCAGAACTAGTCTGGGGATTATTTTTGACAAAGTTTGGGGTATTTTTATTTTTTCGCCCAAGAAGTCCCCCTGTAGGGGGGCACGTCCGACTCAAATCTGGGGTCACAGTAACGAGGCACACCGAAGAAGACACCGCCCCACCAGCAGGTGTCCAGCGGACTCGTCTTATCTCCAGGTGGCCTCAGGGACCCTCGAGAGCGTTTGGAGCTTTGGACACTTCAGAGCGTGCAGGTTTGGCGGCACGTGTTCTCGTAGATCTCTTGCAGCCAGATGCTTAATCGTAGGTTGCCTGTTATATGACGGCCTTTCCATCGGAAAGGGCCGATATCTCCCGTCGAGAATTTCTGCGCCGCGTCTGATGCATGCTGGCCCCCTCCCGGGACACACGCGATCGCCTGTATATCTGGCCTTTCTTGCCGTCGAGGTAATATCTGAGTGAGTTACAGCGAGCTGTAATAGCTGTTCTATGTGTGGCATGCGAGGTCGTTCCTCCTCCGCCTCCTCCTCCCCCTCCGTCAGTCTCTGGGTCTGCGGTAGTCAGTGGCTTGCGCCAGTCAGACGTGCTTGGGCCTGAGGCTCGTCAAGACGCACGCGAGCTGCACAAAAACGCGTCTACAGATGGGGCGCGGCAGGCTGGTGCACGGAGTTTTTGCCGACGGGTTCCTAGGGCAATCAAGTGCCATGGTTTTCTTCAACTGCTCCTCGACCTGGGCGGCCGGGACAGACGGCCGTAGTGCCTCTGGCTTTCAGGTTCGCATTCGGTCACCGCTTCAATGAGCCTGCCAGGCATCCATCCATCTTCCTCCTCATACTCCTCCTCTCCGTCTTCCTTCTTCCAGGTGCGTCTGCGAAGCAGAGGCGCTGGATTCAGAGATTCCACGTTTCGACGATCATGTCTGAACTGTCCAGGGGTGGCCCGACGGTCGTTCACCTATTATCTCCTGGCCATCTGTGGCCATCCTTGGACCAAGGGTTCTGATCAATTAAGCAAAATGGCAAAGGGCACAATTCAGGAATGGGCTATACTCCCTGCCGACGTTGATTTTCTCTTCGGTGCACTGCCTAAGGTCTCCGAGTCCCACGGCCGCTGCGCCAGAAGGAACGGCACCGCGCACGCGACGCACGGCAAGTGGCACGTGGGCAAGCACCCGAATGCCCCTGGCTATGACCAGTGGGAGGCGGGCCAGTCTTACAATTTCTTGCTTTAGTGGGGGCCAGGTAAGGGGAGTTAGTGTGAGCAGGAGTACGTAGGAAGAGGAAGTAGAGTAGGGGACGAGCGGATCGTGAGGATGCTGAGGAGCAGGTGGAGGAGGATGGAGGGACGCAGGAGCAGGGGCAGGAGCATTACGATAAGGTGAGGGAGCAATGTGGTAGGGGGAGGAGGAGAACGCCAAGAGGGACAATCATGTGGGCGCCGGGCAAATTCAGTCGATGCGTGCGTGCGTGCGTACGTGCGTGCGTGCGTGCGTACGTGCGTGCGTGCGCGCGCGAGTGTGTGTGTGTGTGTGTGCGCGCGTGTTTGTTTGGGGTTTGCTTGTTTGTTTTCTTGTTTCGTTGCCTGCTTGCTTGTTTGATTGTTTGTTTGTTTGGTTGGTTGTTTGTTTGTTTGTTTGTTTGTCTGTGCGTGTGCGCATACAACGTGAATTTGCACTGTGCTTTTCGTCCTGCGAGGACTTCGCAGCTTTGGTGGAGGAGCAGTGCGATTGTGTGCGTATGGGTGTCAAGTTAGCCACGTCGACCGAGTCGGCGGGCCCTGGCCACTTCCACTCTTGAGGACCCTCGCGCGTCCACGCAGTACCTGCCAATCGCGTGCATGGGCGATGGCGAGAGCGCAAGGCTTTACTTCGGACGCCCCTAGATCTAAATTTCAGGCTTGACGTGTGTAGAGTTGTAATGTGGGCCTGCGGCAAAGGGTCTCACGAGGGTCGTCTCCTTCGAACTTCTGGAGACCAGTTTTTGGGAGCTGATGGGCAGGTTTTGGGAACGCCGAGGTCGCATCAATTTAGCATATAGTAGTACCAGTCCGCTCGCGTCTGTTTACCAGGCTGGCACCGTCTAGCTCCCTGCGTCATGCCCACTTCAAGCAGCGCACGCGCGAGCTCGCGCGCGAGCTCGCGCATGTGCGCACGGCAATCGCGGGCGGGGTGCGGCGTGAAAGTCCGCTCGCGCCCTGCACGGGGATACTGGGCATCGGATGCTACCCCAGACACCCGACGCTGAGATTTGTTCCGTACGCCTCCCCAGAGGCCCCGACCTCTTCCCAGAGGGGACCTGTTCGCCCCGGATCCATCTGGGATGGCCCCTGGGCCCAATGACGGCCCCCCGTGGCCGAAGTCCCCCGTGGCGGGAGGAGGAGGAGGAGGAGGAGGAGGGGGGGGAGGAGGAGGAGGGGAGGAGGAGGAGGAGGAGGAGGCGGGGGAGGAGGAGGAGGAGGAGGAGGAGGAGGAGGAGGAGGAGGAGGAGGAGGAGGAGGAGGAGGAGGAGGAGGAGGGGGAGATCTGCGGCCCCGTCCGCGCCCCAGCTCCCCCGGGCGCTCAGCTCTCGGCGAGGCCTCCGGCCGCCGGAGCGCGCGCCGGGGGCCCGACTGCCTCGGGGAGCGGCGCGAGGAAGCCCCATGTAGACCTCCACGGCGGGCGGCGGCGTCAAGCCGCGCACCAGAGGCCACTCTTGCCTGGGACCGCTCGTCCGTGCAGCCGCGACGGCGGTGGCGCGACGAGGACGTCTGGCGCCGCACAACAGGCCAGGCCAGAGCTCCCAGCCCCGTCTCTGTGCGGGGTTCGTCTCGGGCCACACGCATCCGTTTGCGGGCCCCACGGGGTGCTGGCAAAATCGGTGCCGAGGTGGCGCCCCCCCAGGAAGCTTTGTTTCGCTAGACGTCTGGGTGCCAGGGACGATGGCCGCGGCGGCAGCGACGACGACGACGACGGGTGCCACGACGGCGGCGGCGACGACGATTTCGGGCGCGGCAGCGGCGACATTGTGACGAGCGGGCGACGGGTAGTGGCGACTGCGACGGGTGGGCGACGACGGCGCCGCCACGACGCGGCGACGAGAGCGACGCGACGACGACGACGGCGACGGCGACGGTGCCGGCACCGACTTCGGCGTCGCCGTCGACGACTGCGACCCCGAAGCCCCAGCCGCTTCGGGGCGCGCGCCGGAAGGCCGGGGAGCCCGGCGTCAGCCTGGCCGGCGTGCGAGCTGGCTCGCCTGGCGGCGCGCCCGCGTGCAGCAGCGGCCCCGTCGGCACGCACTACCTGCAGGACCCGCGGCGGCGGGCGGCCCGGCAGCGACGGTGGCGCAGCGGCGGCGGCCCGCGGGCGCAGCGGGACAGGGAGCCCGTGGGGCGACACGCTCGGTGAGGGGGCGGTAGGGGGAAGCAACAGGGGGGGAGGTTGGGGAGAGGGAGAGGGAGAAGGCGGAGGAGGAGGAGGAGGAGGAGGAAGAGGAGGAGGAGGAGGAGGAGGAGGAGGAGGAGGAGGAGGAGGGGGAGGAGGAGGAGGAGGAGGAGGAGGAGGAGGAGGAAGGGGACTGGTGTAAACCCAAGAGTCATCAACGATGTTGGAATAAAGCCTCCCTCCAAGCTCCCTTTTCCTCTGCCCCATACAAGGATTCATTTCCACTGAGGGAAGTGCCCCGTTGGGAGACAACCGTTGGAGGATCCTGAAGCGTGCCAAAAACACCAGCCTCGGGACTCCAACGCCACGAATCAATTTGACTGTTGCGTCTTGACGGTCCTGAATCGTGGCAGAAAGCCACTCGTGGGACTTCAACGCCGCGAATCAACCTAACTGTTGCGCCTTGACCAGGCTGAATCGTTCGCAACCTCCCTCCCCTCCCCCCCCCCCCTCCCTCCCCCCCTCCCTCCTCCTCCCTCCCTCCCTCCTCCCTTCATCTCATCCCTCCCTCCCTCCCTCCTTCCTCCTCCTCCCCCCCCCACCTCCGGGTACCCATCGGTCGTTGACAGTCTGTCTTCTCAGACCTCCAGGCCCCAATCTATTCGAAGAAAAAAAGAAACGGCGTAAGCAGAAACTTTTGGCGCTCCGCGCGGATTCCTGAGACCCGCGCTGGGGCCCCCGGCGGCGCCTCCAGCGCCGCCTCTGGCGCGCTCGGTCCAGCGCAGATCCAAGAATTCCGCGCGGAGCGCAAGCAGTTTATGCTTATGTGTTGTTTCTTGTTTCTTCTATCTACAGTCGGACTGAGGTATAAGGTCGAGGTCGGTTCGGGGAGGGTGCCCTAGTGCTCTTCGTGCTTGGTGGATGTTCTTGTGCATCTCGGGGGAGTGTACCCTTGGATGTTCTGTGTGTTTTGGCCCGCGGAGGGTCTCATATTCTTGAAGGATATTATTCAGGCCTCGGTCTGACTGTAGGCGTAGCCCAATTTCATGAACCGTACGGCGTTTCCGTGCCCCTACTCTTTCAGAGCTGGTGGGAAGTTGATTTGCGTTCAGCGTTTTCTCCTCTCTTGTTTCTGCCAACTTCTTCCGGCCGATGGGCACTTGGGCTCGCAGGTAGCACCAGCGGTTGCCAATTTTCGTTTCTCCCTCAGCCAGATGGGCGCAGCCTGGAGGGATCATGATCCGCGTCCGCTCGTCTCAGGCCGATCTGTGAGCTGCAGGCGGATTCATGCAGTAGGCTCGCGCCGCACTGCCTGCCCCTGCGTCGTCACTCCACGTGTCCACGGCACGGGGGCCGATGCCGAGCGGACGTCGGGCAACTGTGCCGGGCCTGGTGAGGGGACTACGGCCGGGAAGGGTTTCAAGTTCGCACTCCTGATGACCTCTGGAAGGGGTCGGCGGATAAGCCTTCTCTGCGGCGAGTCTAGATACAAGGCTGAACGTGCTGGGCTGCGGCAGGGCATTGTCGGTGAAGATGCCTGGGTCGGTGCTGGCGGGGGGGACGAGCCAGGGCTCGGGAGCAGATCCACCATGCTAACAGGCCAGGAATTGCAAACATCGATTAAGGCGCGTGGATTTGCGACGGGTCCAGCTTCCGTGCAGAATCGGCGCGTTCCATCACCAAATCAGACGGCATTTGCTGTCTTTTTGGGGATGCGTTCCCCGATCCGTCGATCTGACGCCCACGCGCCAGATCAACAGATCCCCAATCCATGCCAGCGCTGGCTCGATGCGCACACGACGCGGGTTGCCTTGGCGAGACCTCGATTATTACACACGTGTCCGCACGTCTTTCCATCGCCGGGTCCTCGTGGTGGCCCTGGTACGCCAGCCCACCCCACGTGTATCTCCAGGGCTTGGTCTCCGCATGTTCAGCATGTGAATCCAAGCAGTATGCGCCTTCAGCTCCCTGGTGAATGCATTCCTTTCCTGGCCTTCTTCTGCGGTGTTCCAGTTGTGCGGTGTTCGGTTGTGCGGCGTTCCCGCTTCGTCTTTTGATTCATGATGTGGTGTGTCACCCGTGGTGCTTCGCGATGGGACAACACATGTTCCTAACGTTCTCCCCTCCTCTCCGCCACTCCTCCCCAGCAAAGCAGAAGCGAAAAGAGGATGTACACCTACATAGACCCACGTTGCTTTCGAGAGCAGTTCCGCATCGTGCGAACGTTACCGGTCTCGCGGATGGGGGGGCCGTGTTCATGTACATGATTGGGCGCGTACGTGCTTTGTGGGGTCCTTAGCTTCAAGGGCAGAAAAACGCCCCTACCCTGGTTTACGAGGCGCTGTGCGCTGAAACTCCTGTGGGCTGACAGGGTAAACCCTGCGTGATGTGCCGCGTCCTGGCGGCTTCAGGCTGTGGGGGTTCCCAGGAGGTCTACAGACCACGCACTCATAACCCAGGGTAGGGTCGTTTTTTCATCCCTCCATTAGCAAATGGTGGGGGGGGAGAGGAGGAGGTCTGGACGAAAGAGAAGCACGGTGGGATCGACTCCCGGGCCCCACGAGCGGCGGCAGCTTGCAGCGGAGGCCACCGCCGCGTCCGGAGAAGTCGCCGGGGCGGCCGGGTCTCGGCTCGGCGTGTCCGGGCGCGGCGAGGGGCGCAGGGCGTTGGCACAAGCAATGCCTTGCGGCGCTGTCGCAGGAAGCGTGCTACACCACTGCGATCAGCGCGTGCGGGCAGCACGCGCAGTGGCAGCAGGCCTTGTCGCTGCTGAGGGACCTTCCTGGACTGGCCACGCGCCCCAACGCACGGCACTTCAATGCTGCCATCAGCGCCTGCGGGAAGCGAGGTCAGTGGCAGCGGGCATTATGCCTACTCAGGGAGTGCTGGCAGGCAGAGCTCGGTTACAATGTTCACTACGGCCACACAGCCACTATCGGCTACAACGCTGCTATCACCGCATGCGGGAAGTGCGGGCGGTGGCAGCAGGCACTGTCGCTGCTCAGTGAGTGCTCCCATGCAGGACTTGAGCCAGATGTAATCGGATACAATGCTGCGATCAACGCGTGCGGGAGGGCAGAGCAGTGGCAGTGGGGGCTGCTGCTGTTCAGTGCAGGCCGGCAGGCGAAGGTGGAGCCAGACACTATGAGCTACAGTGCTGTCATCCTCACGTGCAGCAAGGCACTGCAGTGGCAACTCGCACTACAAGTATTCAGCGAGTGTCTTCAAGCAAGGCTGCAGCCAAACGCCATGAGCTACAGTGCTGCTATCAGTGCGAGTGAGGCTGGCCAGCAATGGCAGCGAGCATTGTGTCTGCTGGGGGAACTAGAACAAGCGAGATTGCAACCCAGTGCAGTTATTTACAATGGTGCGATCCGTGCGTGTGGCACGTGTGGTCGATGGCAGCACGCATTAAGCTTGCTCGGCGAGATGCAGCAGCAGACATTAAGCCAAGATCAAAACACCTTTCTAGCTGTAGTACGTGCTTGCGGGGTTGGAGGGCAGTGGGAGCAGGCGCTGGCCGTGCTCAGACACCTGCGGGACACGAGGCTGCAGCCAGGCACCGGCAGTCTCAGTGCTGCGATCGCGGCATGCGGACGTGGCCGGCAGTGGCAGAATGCGCTTTTGCTATTAGGCAGGATGCGGCTAGAAAGGATAGGTGCTAACGTCGTCTGCTTCGGCGCCTCCATGAGTGCATGCGGGCTTTGCGGTGAATGGAAGCAGGTGATTGAATTGCTCAGCCAGATGCGCTCTACTCTTGTGGAACCCAACATCGTTGTGTGTAACACTGCGATAAGCGCATGCAGCAACAGCATGGAGTGGCAGCATGCCGTTTCACTGTTCAGAGGTTTACACCAACAGGCACTGGAGGCAGACTCCTTGAGCTACGACGCTGCAGTCAGCGCTTGTGAGAAAGGCGAGCAATGGCGCCACGCGCTAGACCTACTCAAGGAGCAACGTGGAGCTCAGCTGGAACTCTCTCAACACACCTGCAGTGCCTTGGTAAGCGCATGCGGGAAGGCTGTGCAGTGGCAGCTTGCTCTTTCGTTTTTCTACGATTCCCGCTTGCAGCCTGGTGTCGTAGCTCTCAGTGCTGCGATCGACGCTTGCGGGAAAGGTGCGCAGTGGCAACGGGCTTTATCACTGGTCGACGAGATGCAGGACCTAGCGGGGCTGGCGCCCGACTCGGCCAGCTATAATGCTGCAATCAGCGCGTGCGAGAAAGGGCAGCAGTGGCAGCAAGCTTCTTTATTGTTGGGTGACGTGCGCCAAGCGCGACTGGACCTTGATACCGTAACCTACTCTGCTGCAATGAGCGCGTGCGAGAAAAGTGCGCAATGGCAGAAGGCTTCGCGGTTGCTCGTCGAAGCGCTACAGAGCACGACGGAAATGGACGCCTTCTGTTTCAGTTCTGTGATCAGTGCTTGTGAGAATTCAAAAGAGTGGCAGCACGCGATATTTAGACTCAGTAGTATGGCCCTAGCGCGGTTGGATGCGGATGGTCATTGCTACAACGCCGCAATCAGCGCATGCGAGAAGGGTGGGCACTGGGAGTGGACTCTGTCACTGCTCAGTGAGCTGCAGGAGGGGCGGGTGGAGCCGAACGTTTTCTGCTACAACTCTGCGATCATCGCTTGCGCGAGTGGCGGGCAATCAGGCAGGGCCCTGTCGCTGCTCGAAGAGATGCGGCGAGCCTGGCTGGACCCAGACCCTGTCACCATCCGCGCCGTGTCCGGCGCGCAAGAGATGCATGGGGCTTGCGAGGGCCCGGAGCAGGCTGTACCATTGTTGGACGAGCTGCGGCGCGCTGTGCTCTAGGCACGAGGCCTAGCACCTCTGTGCCTGCCCAGGCATGCGCGAGACGTTCGCTGGATCTGCGTGCTTGGTCTGGAACCGTGTCTTGTCAGAGAGGAAGTTCGTCCCAATGGGAGGCATGGAGGGGGGCATGGTGAGCGGGTCCACGTTGCGGGTTCAGCCCCGGGCTCAGATTTTGGTCCCTGCTGCCGCCACCGTCGCTGCTGATGCCCGCCCCTGGAAGAACTTCGGTTGCAGCCTCGTTTGCTCTTGCCCCGTCATCGGGGTACGCGGGTCTTGCACCTACTCCGATCCCGGCCAGGACGATCCTGGGCCCAGGACCAGCGCAGCCCATGGATCACTGCACATCTCCACAGCAATGCTGCGCACAGAGCGATGGGCGAGACAGGCCTGCCCGGCCATGCCTCGAGGGCGTGGGCCCTTCGGCCCAAGGCCTGGCCAGGCCGACTTCGCTGCCGGAGCGCAGCCTGCGTCGCCCGGCAGCGTCGGGGCCTCGGCAGTCGGTCCCGACGGCCCATCTGACAGCCGACGACCTCTCCCAGAGAGCTGGCCATGCCTCTGGACCGCGCGTCCGAATTCCCAGGTCGTCGCATCGCTTCCCCCTCCACCTTTCTCTTTCGGAGGCGGCAGAACCCCCCCGCCCTGCCGGTCGTCGTCTCGCACGTGGAGGAAAGGGCGAGGACGGTCCTGCGGTAGGGCTGCGACAGGGCGGCCTATCGCCTCCCCAGTTTTCCTGTCGCCAGTGGTTCAGCAGGTCTTGGCCGTTGTTGTGGTTGTGACGTGCAGTCAACCCGCATAATAAGGATGGACATCCTTCCCAAACGTACCCTCGCATCCCTGCCTCCTCGGTTCATCCTTGGCCACCTTCGTTGGCCACGCTCCGCTCGAAAAGCTTAGCAATGTGCGTCCAAGGCCCTTGCATCCTTCTCGCGTATCCTCATGGTACGGGCCGACTCCTAGACAAACGGATACCTACACCCTGTCAAGTCAGTCATCGATTTGCTTTTTGGGGGGGCTCTCGAGAGTGCGCCGCGGCCGCAGTTTTTGCAGGCCTGCGCTCGCCATTCCTGTTTTGTTGCTACGGGCTGTTCTGTCCACCCTCGAGGAGGGACCCGCGAGACCAGGATGGCTTAGGAGGGGATCTCGTGACAGGAGGAGGAGGAGGAGGAGGATGAGGATCAGCAGCAGCAGCAGGAGCAGCAGCAGCAGCATCAGCAGCAGCAGCATCAGCAGCAGCACGACGGGGAGGATGCCGTGTCATCGTGCGGCGCGCAGTGCTCGGCTGCGCCTCCCCCCCCCCGTCCCCCGCCGCCCATTCCCTGGGCGCAGCGCGTCAGGACTGGGACCTGGAGTCTCACATGCCGCGCCTCCAGGACAGCCCCGCTCGCTCGTTGGCTTGCTTGCTTGGAGGGGGGGGGGGCTCCCCAGCGAGCCTCGAAGGGAAAGCAGGGCATCTCGCAAGGCACGCGAGGGTGGAGGCACGATGCTATCTAAGTCACCTGCTTGAGCCTGAAGAGCACCAGCCTCTTGGGATCCGCCCTGGTCGTCCTCATCCTCGCTCCTGGGCCCCTGACAACTCGAGAAGGTCGCTCTTGAGGTCTTTGCACAGTTCTCGGCCCCTGGAGGCCGGCTTCGTGCGGCCGACAATCCAGGCCTCCCAAGTTGGGGCCAAACCAAATGGGGTCGGAGGATCGCGCCGCATCGCCACGGCATCGGCGCCAGCAGATTCGTGTAATGACTGCGTGCACGCGGGCACCTCTTTCCAGTGAGCTTTGAATGCTTGTATCCGCACTGCTGCCTGAGGCTACCCTCCCCGAGAGAGCAAGGCGTTTTCTTGTCTACTGCACGCAGATTTGTCGTCGTCGACTTGACTTCTCCCTCAGCGCAGTCGTCGTCCTCCTCATCCCGCGTGAGGATGCCAGCGAACTTGTAAGTAGCGTGACGGGAGTCGGAGAAGCTCGAGTTGGAGGAGGGGAAGGAGGAGCAGGAGGAGGAGGAGGAGGAGGAGGAGGAGGAGGAGGAGGAGGGGCCAGTCTAGACCAATCAGCGATGTTGCAACTGATCCTCCCTCCAAGCTCCCTCTTCACAGGCTGATGTAAGCATCTGTTTTCTCTGCGGGAAGCGCCCCGTTTGAAGACAACTGGTTGAACATCTTCAGCCGTGCCAACCGTTTGGAGAAATGGTAGGACTTCAACGCCGTGAATCGACGTCCTGTTGCGACCAGGCAGTCCCAAATCGTGCCAGGGCATCAGTCCTGAGACGTCAACAGCGCGAATCAACGTGACAGTCGCGCCCTTGCAGTCCCAAATCGTGCCAAAACAGTGTTTCTGGGACGTCAGCCACAAGAATATTTGAAACTGCTGTTAACTGGTAAGGCGGATCTGCGCAGCGCGAAAGCGAGAGCCACAGTTCGAAAAGGAACCGCCCTCCATCCGTGAAACCTCCTTCTGCAGTTTTTGGCACGAATGTGCGCGGCGCTGAGGCGAAACTTGCGTTTTGAAAGCGGCCCGCGCCCTCCGCCCGTAAAACTCATGCAAGCATTGAAGACGAACATGCGCGGCGCTAGGGCGAGAGCCACATTTTGAAAACGGCCCGCCCTCCAACTGTGGAAGTGCAAAACTTGTAAGACGAATCTGCGTGGCACTCAACACAAACGCCACATATTGAAAATCACCCGTCCCCCATCGGTAAATCCGTTTTGAATTTCAAGCTTCAGGATCTACCCACTCGTCTCGGGTTGCGACAGGGAGGAGCTATGTATATGGAAGAGGGATGGGGGAACATGAGGACGGGGAGGAAGGACTCTAGAAGATAAACGAAACGGAGAAGGATGATGATACCAAGGAGGAGAAGCCCCAACGTCGCGACAGATCACGACAAGAGTTCCCAGCCCAGTGCTTCATGAAGGGTCCACTGAGTTGAACCTATGAATCCGCGAGTGCGCCATGGCTCAGCGGTTGAACCAAGTATTGGCCCTGCAACATCCTTGGATGGAATCTGGCCCCACTTGGCATAATGGATCAACCTCTATCAATCTGGCGCAATCTGGTTGGACATGTGGCCTCACTTGGCATCATCTGGACTCATATGCCTCCGCGGTGGCCGGTATGTCGTGCCCGCGCCGGCGAAGACCTCCCAGGACCAGCAGTTGCCTCCTAGCCTGCGCCCGCGGTCCCCAGAGGCTTCAAACATTTGATCGTGCAACAATATGCAGCGTTCCAACATCGAAAGCAATAGGCAGCGTTCAACATCGAAAATCATAGGCAGCGTTCAGACATTTACGAGGACCTCCATCGTCGTCGTCGTCGTCGTCGTCGTCGTCGTCGTCGTCGTCGTCGTCGTCGTCGTCGTCGTCGAGGGGCGGGTGTCTAATTAGCACATTCGTTGTCGATTCCTGCACACATCGCAGTCCCGAGTGCAGGCTCATCTTGTTAGATCGCTCCAGCACGCAGCTACTGCCCGAAAGCAGCCGTGCAACAGCAATAGTTAACCTGGAGATCTGGTGCTGTTTTTTTCGACACGGGGCCCCCCAACACCCGACCCTGTCTCAATAGGGCTGGCGAGCCCTCGGGGCCACGCGAGCCCGCGAGGACCCCCAGAGGCCGAAAACAACGGGAGACCTCCGCCTTGATTTTCTCAATGCGATGGATGTCTGGCTAGCAGTCTCCCGGGGAAGGCGGGGGGGGCTCGGAGACGACAGCGGCAGCAACGGCGCCTTCGACGACGCCGGCGACGACCGCGACGACAGCCAAGGCCGCCGCAGAGTGCCGAATTGGCATTCGGAGGCCTGTCCCGAGGGCTGCGGGCCCTGGACCCCGGAGGGGCCTCTCCCCGGGACCGCGCTCTTCCTCCTGCCTCGGTTCCGGGCGGCCCCGCGGCCCCCGGGGAAGGTCCCCAGGAGCCCGGGCATGACCTGCGTGGCCCGCGGCCGCGCGGGCTCCCGGCCCCCCCCCCCCCTGCGCCGACTCCCTTGCGAGGGCGCTTTTCCGCGGCTGCCCCACGCAGAGCTTGCCCGTGCGGCAGCGTGCCCAATGGGGCCGCCGCGCGCTCGGCATCCAGACCGAGAGGAGGTGGGAATGGACACACTCTTGCCTCCCGTGGAGTCAAAGGTGACCTCTCCTCCTCCTCCTCCTCCTCCTCCTCCTCCTCCTCCTCCTCCTCCTCCTCCTCCTCCTCCTCCTCCGGGGGCGCTTGACATCCTCACTTCGAGGGAAGAAACACGGAGATGAAGAAGTCGCAGCCCCCCTTCCCCCCCCCGCCTCCACTTTGCTTCCCCCTTCCCCCTGCCCACTTCCGGCTAGAATAGGAGGGGGCGGCAAAGAGGGGGGTGATGACCAGGGGGGGGAATATCATGGCGGTGGCCATGATATTTCCCCAGATCTCATCTTATTTAATCACGTCCCTGGCCCATGATTTGCACCCCCCCTCTTGGACGCCCCCATCTTGGCCGCCCCCGAGAATAGGAGGGGGCTGTGGCTTCCGGGCCGTCCCGCAGATCTCCAGGTCGGGGAGCTTCTTTTCGTGGCCTTGGCTCGTCCCGTGGCCAGCGTGCCCGCTTCTCCGGTGCTCCTCAGTGCCAAAACCTACCACCGATGGGCTACAGTCAAGATGCTGAAATAAGGAACAGTTTGGGTTCGGAAGGGGCTCGATGTTCCTCAGGTTCCTCCAGTGCTGTTCCTCTTGCCCTCCTGGGGCACGGAGGCGCCTACAGGACCAAGAAGGGGCTTCGTTCCTTATCAAGCGTTCCTTCTTTCAGCGGCCCGACTATCTATGATTTGAGTCCCTCTTGGGGGTCAGTGGGCGTCAAGACGGTTCAAGATGGCTTCAGTAAGGGCCAAGACGGCCCCAAGACAGTCCAAGATGGCCCGAAGGAGGCCCAACCAGCTCCCCAGACGCTCAATCAGGGCCGCAAGAGGACCCCCGAGAGCGCTACAACAGGCCCGACAAATCATTGATTTGCTTCAGGTCCAAGCGGCGCAAGAGCGCCTCTCTCTTTCTCTCCTCCCCCCTCCTCCGGCTGCCACTTTCGAGCCAGGCGTGGGTGATTCTGGCACGCAGCTTGCTGCTTGCCATGCCGACTTTCGCCACGGAGCGCACGGGAGCACATGTGGTGGCATTCGTCGCGCATCAACCAAAAACCGTGATCAGAGAGGCCATGGGCTCCTGATTTCACCGGGCGAGCTCCACTGCACGCAAAGTGCCCACTCGCAGATGTACACAACATCGAGCGCCGTTCGATGCAGTGGAGCCCAGTTGCCTCGACGCCATGGATCCAGGCCGCTTGCGAGCAGCTCCCTTTGGCGAGTCGTGAAGCGCGCCTGTCTGTGATGGAGCGCTCCCCGCAGGACGGACCGCAGCAGGCGCGGGCCCCGCTCGCCGCGGAAGTCTGCCGCTTCCGAGTGCCCACCTCTCTCCCCCTCTGCGCGGCCGCCCGTCTCCTCCCTCCCGCTCTCTCTCGCACGCTGGACAAAATCTACCCACCGCTGCCCCGGGGTTGGCCGCACGCCGGTGCGGATCGCCTCCGCCCCGCCGCCGGCGAAACCAAAAGCTCGCCTCGAGGCCATGGATTTTGGGCCGCCGCCGCGCGCAGCTGCACCTCTGCGAGTCGTGGAGCGCGCCCGTCTGGCATGGAGCGCTCCTGGCAGGGCGGCCGCGGCAGGCGCAGGCCCCGCCCCGCGTCGGCAGCCCCTGCCCGCGCGCTCGGGGCGCCCCGCGCCCTCGCCCCGCCTCGCGAGCCGCGCCCCCCCCCTGCCGCAGGAGCTCTGGTCCGAGCGCAGGCTCGTCGTCGGCCCTGGGATGAACCCGTTCCGCCCCGGGCCGGCGCCCAAACGCGGGGGCGCGCATCGACGAGGGACAAAAAGAGGGTAATACGCATACTGCTGCCCTTCCCTCGCTTCCGCCTTTCTGGGCCTCCTGGGAGGCCCTCGTCGCCACCGCTGGATTCGCCTCGAAAGATGGGCCAGAACGCACCCCAGGAGAGGTCTGGGGGGGAGTACTAGCGGTATCGGTGCCTCTTGGTGTCCCCAGAAGCGGGGGCGTCCAGGGGGGTGAGGCGAACTAGTGCACGTGGGATCATCAGTGGTAGTGATACTATTGTTGTCCCAGCTTCTATTGCTGATCGTCTTCCATACTGGGGTCTTGACCGGTCCGTCTGCCGCCACATAATGTCAGTACAATGCGTATGCGTATTTTTTGTCGAGGAGCGGCAGGCGCACACAGCAATCAGATATACCAAACATATTCCAAGCAGAGGGAGCAACAACAACAGCAGAATTGAGCACGACATGAATAAGGAATGATAAGGTCAAGCGCGTCTTGCCACCAAAAACGCATCGGCTGCGCGCCGAAGGGGCTGGAGCGAGGGATGGGTGGGGGCACTCTCGGACGGCACGGGCGCCTCTGAGAAGCCCTCCTCGCTTCTGAGGAGCCTTCGCAGACGCCTCCGAGCCCTTCTGCGAGGTCCCTCTGCCCTCTCGGGGAGGCCGCCCCCCCCCGGGCGCCGCCAGGCGCAGCCGTCCCCGCAGCCACGAGCTGGCTCCGGCACGCGGCGGCCTGGGCGGGCGGCCCGGCAGTGCCACGCCTCGGCTGCGTACGCGCAAGAGTGAGCTCTCCTCCTCCTGCCTCCTCCTCCTCTACCTCCTCCTCCTCCTCCTCCTGCTCCTCCTGCCCCCTCCTGCCCCCTCCTGCCTCCTCCTCCTCCTCTCCTCCTCCTCCTCCCTCCTCCTCCTCCTCCTCCTCCCTCCTCTCGCTCCTCCTCCTCTCCTCCTCCTCCTGCGTGTTCCTTTCTCCTCCTCCTCCTCCTCCCGCCTCCGCCTCCGCCTCCTCCTCCTCTCCCCTCGCTGGATGGGGCCTCTGACGTGCGGGCCCGCAGGGGTCCCCCTCCCCCCCGCACTTGTCCTGCACGCCTGGGTTGGGCGTCCCCGCGCCCCCCCCCCCCCCCCCCCCCCCAGAGCCGCGCCTCGAACGCTGCTCCTGCCTGCCTCCTCCTCTACCTCCTCCTCCTCCCCCTCCTCCTCCTCCTCCTCCTCCTCCTCCTCCTCTCTCCTCCTCCTCCTCCTCCTCCTCCTCCTCCTCCTCCTCCTCCTCCTCCTCCTCCTCCTCCTGCTCCTCCTGCCTCCTCCTGCTCCTCCTGCCTCCTCTCCCCTCGCTGGAGGGTGGCGCTCCGGGTGGATGCCAGGGCGGGTGGTGTCTGGCCTCGCCTGGCTTCTGGAGCGGGTTGCAAGTGCCTCAAGCGGCTTACGCGCGGCAGAGGTCTGGGCAGAGTGAGCGTAGCCCGCTCAGCAGAGTGACCCGATCCCTGTGGGCCACGTGGGGCGCTTGTGGCCCACGGATAAGCCAGGTCGGGCGAGATATATCCCACTCTGACATCCTCTTGGAGCCCCTCTGTCCCCTTAGTCGGACACTGGAACATGCACCTTACCAGTGGCGGGCTGTTTCTCAATCCCCGTACTTTTTGAGCGTCGGGGACGACGTCGGGGTGGTGTGGTGTATACTTGTTGCTCCGTTTCCCGCGGAATTGGCGACACATGCGTACACCAGGATCCCGTATACACCGGGCCTCCGTTTCCCCGTGCAAATTTCGGTGTGGGGCTGGAAGAGGCGTCGGTGTACAGAGTTCGGCTCCTTATTAGCACCCCCGGCGGCGGTCCAAGTGGGGTCACTCTTGCGTGCAGCCGACGCCCCGCGGCTCGCCGGCGCCGCCCCGCGCCCCGCGGCGCCCGCGCCCCGCGCCCCGCGGCGCCCGCGGCTCTCGCCGCGCCCGCCCCCGCCCGCTGCGGCCAGATGCCGGGCACGCCTCGGGCGGCGGGAGGCGCCGACTCGGAGGCTCGGGGGCGTCAGTCGAAGAAATGAGGAGGAGGAGGAGGAGGAGGAAGGAGGAGGAGGGGGAGGAGGAGGAGGAGGAAGGAGGAGGAGGGGGAGGAGGAGGGGGAGGAGGAGGGGGAGGAGGAGGAGGAGGAGGACAAGTACAAGCATACACTTTTGGCGCTCCGCGCGGGCTCCGCGCGCCAGGTTGGGGGGTCCAGCGCAGCTCCAAGCCATCCGCGCGGAGCGCCAACTGTTTATGTTTACTGAGTTTGTTTGTTCTTCCTGCGTACACCCTGCGAAATGCTTAAGAAATCATGGGTTAAGAAATTCAGAGTCTCAGAATTTCAATCAAACCCAAAATTTCGATCGAAATGTTAGGATTCACATTGGAACAATAAGAATAATCGAGACTCTGGCCGAAACCTTACGTTTTCTTAAGCATCGCCTAGGGTGTAGGCAGGGGCAACGATCGGGGGGGATAGGCAGAGGGGGAAACGCATCGACCCCCAATCGTCCATCGATCGCGAATAGGGGTCTGATAGCCCCGACCCGCCCAGGAGCGTGCGGATCTGCCATCGAGGGCCTATCGCCGATCTATCGGCGCTGTATCGCCGATTCCAGCCAGATCGTCCCGAGCGGCCACTGGAGAACCGAGTTACAGTGGTGGCTAGTCCACAAGAAAATGTTCCACACTAATCCCAACCCTGAGACCCCAGGACGTCCACTGTTTTTTCGTGTGGGAACGTCACGCTTTCCATGGCAAACCCATCGAAACCCAAGAAACCCAGGGCACCCTGGATACAAGCAAGGTGTTTCTTGGCATGGGTCTCTACTGCATGGCCTGGAAGCCAAACATTCAGAGAAGGGCCAGCTTGGTGAGTCAGTGGGGCTTCGGAGTGATCGCGCGGTTTCGGGACCTGGGTCGTCCTCCGAGGATGTCTCGTGCGACTGGTCTGCCTCCGCCGCTGCCGCCGCCGCCGCGCGCCGTCGCCGCCGCCGCCGCCGCCGCCGCCGCCGCCGCCGCCGCCGCCGCCGCCGCCGCCGCCGCGCCGCCGCCGCCGCCGCCGCCGCCGTCGCGTCGTCGTCGTCGTCGTCGTCGTCGTCGTCGTCGTCGTCGTCGTCGTCGTCGTCGTCGTCGTCGTCGTCGTCGTCGTCGTCGTCGTCGTCGTCGTCGTCGTCGTTGTCGTCGTCGTCGTCGTTGTCGTCGTCGTCGTCGTCGTCGTCGTCGTCGTCCGCTCCTCCTGCGTCACTGTCGTCGGCGCCGCCGCGCGCTGCCCGGGCCCGGGCCCGGCGGAAATCACCGCGCGGTCTGTCACCGCACCACTTTGGGACCGTCGAGAGGCCGCCTCCGCTGTGGCCGCCGTCCTCGCAGCGGCGGACCACTACGCGGCCGTGGGCGCGGCCTCGCGGGACCTTTCCACGTCTGAGCTCCGCCAGCATTACCTGCGGCAGTCCGTCCGTGTTCACCCAGACAAGATCGGGGCAACGTAGGGCTCGAGTTCGCCAGGGCCTGGGTTTGCCGACGTTTTGTTGACAGGCCAGTCTTGCATTTTGACGGTCCAGGGTCCAGTTTTCGTGGGATGTGTGCAGCGGGAGTTCGCGTCACATTCCAGATTGTGTCTCGTCATGTTCCAGACGGGCCTGTCGGGCGAACCCGAGTCCCCCGAACCCGAGTCTTGGGTCTCCCCGACAAGAACCCGCATCCAGACGCGACCAGGGCCTTCCAGCGGGTGTCGGCGGCTTGGGCGGTGCTCAGCGACGACGCCGCCAGGCGGCGCTACGACGCGGAGCTCGGGGCGGGGTCCGCAGACTCTTGCGGCGGCCGCGGCGGGCACGATGAGCCCGCGGTGCAGCAGCCCATGAGCGCGGAGGATGCCTTCGCCGCCTTCGCCTTCGCGACAGCCATGGCTGGATCCGCCATGAGCGGCGGCGCCGTCGGCGAGTTCGCCGAAACCCTGCTCTGGGCACAGCGCCTATCAGAGATGCGGGAGGGCGGGCGGGCGCCTGACGCGGCCACCGTCGCGACCGGAGGCCTCGCGCTCTCGGCGGGGCTGCGGTCGGTGGCCGACGCCGCGGAGTCCTTGGGCTACAGGGGCGCCAGCAAGGGCCTCCACCAGACCGCCTCGCTCATCCGCACCGCGAGCCACGTGACGGCCGTCGGCCACGCGGCCTCGCAGGTGCCGGCCGTGCGCGAGGCGATCGCGTCGGGCACCGCCGCGGCCGCGGAGAGGGCCCAGCAGCTCGGGGACACCGTGAAGGGCCTGAGGGACGGCGCCGGCGCCAGCGCCGTGCTGGGCGGCGTGCTGGGCTGGGCGCAGCGGGCCCGCGACGCGGTCGCGGGGGCCGCGGCGCAGGCCGGCGCTGCGGAGGCGCGGCCGGCGGAGGGGGCCCGCGCGGAGCTCAGGGGCCTCCAGGCCGCCGCGCACCTCAACGGACGGGCCTGCGAGGTGCTCGGCTTCGACGAGGAGGCGCGGAGGAGGGCAACTATGCAGATCCGCCGCGTTCCTCCCCCTCCCCCTCTCCCAGGACGTGGGGGCGTGATCCGAGGAGCAGGGGGGAGCCATGAGGACAGAGGTCGGCCTGTGTCATCGTTCGATCCTTGGAGGCGGGCCGGTACCGGGTCCGCATCCTGCCCCTGGGCGCCGGCGGGGCAGCGCGCGAGGCCGACGACGCGGCGGGGCAGGTGAAGCGGGTGAAGCAGGAGAACCTCGTGCTGCAGCCCCGGCTCGAGAGGGGGCACCTCGGCGGCTGACCCAGTCCAGGCCGCCCAAATGGGGTCCGAGTAGACGGGGTCGGGGGAATGCGCCGCAGCGCCGATGCAGCACCGATGCGGCCCCAATTCGTAGCCCGATTTTCTCCACGCCGACGGCGCCGCATCGGCGATGCGGAACGATCCTCCGGCCCCATCTGCTCGGACCCAGCTGGGCGGCCTCCACTGACCCATGGGGGCCGGAGGGCGGAGCTACCAGCGGTGTGTTTCAGCACTCATCGCAGCGAGTGAGCGGGAGCGGCAGCCGTGTGGCAGTCTGTGGTCGCGGGCCTTGAAGGAGGTCGTCGCGTACGTGGCCGAGTGTCGGGGAACAAACAATTTCATGACCATGCACAACTCGAAGGTTCGTGCGGATTTCTTGGTTCGACTCTGGACCCCCATCCCTGGCGCGCGGAGCCCGCCAGGGTCGGCGCCAGAGGCGCCGCCAGGGTGCCCCAGCGCCGACCCGAGGCATCCGCGCGGACCTCAGAGTTTTGATGTTAATGGCATTACCCTCCCCCTGCCCCTACCCCCTCTGTGCACGCCGCCAATGCTTCTTCCCCTGCGAGCAGCCACGACCAGGGCTGGACCCAAACGGTGGTTTGGCCATCTCGTGTGCCGTTTTGTTTTTGATCTTGTTTTGCATCCAGTGCGAAGCGAAGGCAAAACGAGGAAGAACGAACAGCAACACGAAGACGAAAAGCACTGTGTAGGCTCAGCCATGGCCACGACCGCGCCCGCGGCTTGCAGCCGACGCGCCTCCCCGCGGTCGGACAGGTGGGCCCCCGCTGCAGCGGCCGCCTCCCCGCGCAGGCGCCGTCGAGAGCGTCTCGCCCGCGCGTTCGGATGCAACTCCTTGGAGGTCAGATTCTGTTTTCGCCCTGGTGCAAATCCCGGCTGAATCCAGCCCAATCCCGTCTGATCCGGTTCAGTCCCGCCTAATCCCGCTTAATCCGGCCTGCACCCGCTCAATCCGAGGCCCGCTCCGGCGTAAAACAGCTCCCAAATGGGGCTTCATCCTCCCCGATCCTCCCGACGAGAACCCCTCGGCAGTTGCCTCCTAACGCGCGGGCGCTGTATCGGAGGGCACCAACTATACACCAACACCGATCCTGGCCCAGGATCATCCTGGGCCCAGCATCGGTGTATATGCCTTCTTGCGCAAGGCAGGAGGGCGTATACACCGATCCTGGGCCCAGGGTGATCCTGGCCAGGATCGGTGTTGGTGTATAGTTGGTGCCTTCCTAGCTGTAGGACGGCCCGAGAGCTCGAGGGCTGCCCGCCGCTCCGGCGCTCGGGCGCGAGGGCTCCGCCCTCGAGGCGTCGGCCTCTCGGCCCTCGGCCCTCGCGCGGGGGGGGGGGGGGCGCGGCGCCTCGGCCCCTCCCGCCTCGCCCCTCCCGCCTCGGCCCTCCCGCCTCGGCCCTCTCGCCTCGCCTCGGCCCTCCCGCCTCGGCCCTCCCGCCTCGGCCCTCCCGCCTCGGCCCTCGCGGAGTGCTGGTAATTGCTCGCTGGGCCTTCCTGACGCGCGTGGTGCCCCGCTCCCCCCCCCCCCGCCCCGCGCCTCCCTTCCCCTCCCCAGAACGCAACGCTCCCCCCCCCCCCCCCTCGGCCCTCGCCTCGGCCTCGCCTCGGCCCTCGCAGAGTCTTTGCTGGACCACTGGGTCTTAACAACGCGCGTTGTACCCCCTTCTTCCCCTCCCCTCCCCTCCCCCCTCCCCCCCCTCCCCTCCCCAGAACGTAACGCCTCCCCCTCCCCACCCCCGGCGTGGTAGTCCGCAGCGTGTCTGGCACCACAGTCTGAGGTGCGGGGCGGGACCCATCAGGCGGGGGGGGGGCGTTACTGTATGCCCCCCGCTCCGCCCACCCCCCCCCCCTCCCCCAAGAACGCCCGCTGTCACTGCGAATCAAATAGTGCTCTCCTCGAGGCGCCGGCTTCTAACCTCGGCCCTCGCGGGGGGATCGCGGAGCCGGGTTCCGACCGGGATCTCGAGGCTCTTGATAGGCAAGCGTAGATCCAGGCGCGTGGGTTAGCGACGGGTCCCGTCTCTGTGCGAGTTCGATGCGCTCTGTCACCAATTCAGTCGGCATTGGCGCCGTGTTTCGGGGGGGGGTATTTTCTCCGGTCTGTGGGCCTGGCGCCCGCGCGCCAGATCCATGGATCCGTTATCCGTGTGAGCGCGTGCCCGATCGAAGGTCCCCCAGGCAGCCCCGGAAGGATGGAAAGCGCTCAAGAGGACGAATCCCCCGTCGCCTTTCTCCCCACGCTCTTTCTCCGTTTCAGAGGCCTCCAGAGGCTCTCTGAGGTCCCTGGAGTTGTTCAGAGGAGACTAGAGGCCTCTGGAGGCCTCTAGAGTTCTCTCGAGGCCCAGAACTGGCCAAAAACATTCGAGGACCTCGATCGTCGATCCTCGAACCTACTTCACAAGACCTCGATCCGATTGACCTGTCTCATCCGCGGCCCCCCTGGGCGACCCCCTCTCCCGCCCGCAGATTTCTCCTCGCGGATCCATTCCTCATGGCCCCGGGGCTCGAGGAGCGCCGCCCGAGGGCGGACACCTGGGGGTCACACACCACCGAACACGCACCGTTCCCTCGGGGGCCTCCTCCCCGGCTGGACCGGCTGGCGGCCCTCGAGGCTGCTCGGCCCGCGCACGCCGCGCGGCCGCTACAGACGGGTGCGCGGCCGCCACAGGCGCCTGCTGACAAACAGACCTCCTCCGCTCTCTGCGCCTCCGCATCCTCGAGGCCCGACGTGTTTCATGTTTTGTTGTTTTCGACTGCGTCTCGATATACAGGGCAGCCGCAGGGATGTTCGGTGCACCCTTCGTTCGGGCGTCGTCGAAGGCCTCCGTGTGCAATATGTCGAGGGCGCTGAGGTCGGCTCATAAGTCGAGCTGTATTTGAAAACTAGCTCCGTGCTGCAACACTGTCCTCCTGGTATCGCTCTGCTCGGCGCTCGCGCTTGGCCCAGGCTCCACAAGAGGATGGACTTCGCCGACGTGCTAGTGCGGCTGTCGCGGGACTCCCCTGCGTTGGTGCCGAAGGACCGCGGGGGGGCTAGGGGTGGGGGGGGGGAGGGTTGCGAGGGAAGCGGAACGTGTGGAGGCCGGGGGGGGAGGACGGACGATGATGGTGATGGTGATGGCGATGGCGATGGCTTTATGATATCATGGTGGTAATGTGATTGATGATTGTGCTGCAAATGATGAAGATGGACATGATGACAAGCAGGAGGAGGAATAAGAGTAGTTAGAGGAGGATCATCTGGAGACAGAGGTGCGGGAGGAGGAGGAGGAGCAGCAATATTCTTGCAGCACTGGAGGAAGAGGAGAAGACGTGTCTGTGTGTGTGCGTTTGGATTATTCGTCTTGGCAGTGTCCCTGCTCGACGCTCCACCGCTGGCTGCAACTCACTGTCGCGTCGGAGGAATTGTATGTGCGTTCGCGCGCGCGTGTGTGTGTGTGTGTCTGTGTGTGTGTGTGTGTGTGTGCGTGTGTCTGTGTGTGTCTGTGGGCGTGTGTGTGTGTGTGTGTGTGTCTCTGTGTGTGGATGGTGGGGGGGCGGGAGAGGGATATGCGAGGAGGAAGAGCCTGAGGGGGAGGGCTATGAGGAGTATTGAAAGTATGGCGAGTGCGAGAAGAGGACGACGAGGAGCAGCAGGATTACGATGACGGCGAGGAGGAAGCGGATGATGAGTAGTCGGGTGCGGTGGGTGCAGTGGGTTGACCTTGGTTGCCCTGGGCGGAGTTCAGAAGACGTGGCAATAGTTGAGACGTCCATTGCCACGGCAGGCGAGTCAGGGGACAGGCGATGAACCCTTCTCCCCCTCGTTCTCCTTTCCCCTCTCACTGCTGTTGCTCCTCCTCCCCATCCTCCTCCCGTTTCGCTTTCCCTCCTCTCATGCCGCATCATCCTCTTTCTTCTTCTGCCTTCTCCACATGTCATTCCTTCGCATGCCCCTCCCTCTCCTCCTACCTCGTCTTCTCTCCTCCCCAGCCCACTTCGCTCTGGAGACCCCGCCCCGAACTGGACGTCTTGTGTGTTTCTTTGCGTGTCCGTCCCCCTTCTCCTTTTTGTGTCCATGGGCTCTCTCCTCAACCCTTATCTACCAGTGGTGGGAGCCGTTTAGTCTCCCGCCGTTGCTGACAAGAGTAGTTGGGCGCCCAGTCTGGGGCGCACAGTGGTGCTCCCCAAAGCAAATGCAAAACAGCGCAGGCGCAGATGGTGGTTTTGAAGCACCACTTTGATCGAAGCAGTGGGGTTTGTCGTTGTTGGGTCGCGGGTGGGTCGTGGGCGGGTCGTGGGGCGACGGCGACAAGAAACAATATCAGCAACAACGGCAATCCGCACCGCACAACCCCATTACACGTAAGCACCCAGGGTCAGTGCAAGACCGCTTGGCCCCCCCACTCTGATGTAGCCGCGTCTTTGCCGCTTGATATTTGACTCAGCACAACTCTCATCCCACCCCACCTTACTCAGAACAAGTCTCACCCCACTCCACCTTACTTCTTCCCAGCTACTCCTCCTCATCCCCCTCTCCCTCAGACTTCGTGAAGTCGTCCTGCTGCCTGTCGAACTCCTCTGCCACATCGTCCTATTTTGCACTTCCTCCTGCGCCTTCACTACCTCCTCCCGCAGCTCGCCTTTTCTCACTGCGCAGAACACGGTGGGGTTCTTTTGAGGGTCCCAGGTCCTCTAGACACCCGTCGGTGGATAGAGAAAGATCAGCGCGATGGGAAATCATAGGTGGAAGGGGCCGAATGTCTGACATGGTGCGAGCGCACCCAGCCTGCCTCCTTCCCCGTGCTCCTCTCCAAACATCTCTTCCCCCGCGGGCCAGCTCCCCGCCCCTTCGTCGCCTGGCGCCGCTTTCGCCCGGCACCGTGCTCTCCACCTTGCTCTTCGCCGTCCTCCTGGTCCCTCTCGTCGTCGTCGTCGTCGTCGTCGTCGTCGTCGTCGTCGCCGCCGTCGTTCTTGTCGATTTCGCCGTGGTCGTCGTCGCCGTCGCCGTGGGCTTCGTGGCCGCTCTCGTCGTCGTCGTCGCCGTCGCCGTCGCCGTCGCCGTCGCCGTCGCCGTCGCCGTCGCCGTCGCCGTCGCCGTCGCCGTCGTCGTCGTCGTCGTCGTCGTCGTCGTCGTCGTCCTCACAACGTTGTCGTCGTGGTCGTCGTCGTCATTGTCGTCGTGGTGGTGGTCGTGGCCGCCGCCGATGGGTGCGCGCAGGACTGCACCGCCGAGCTCTCCCGTCGCTCGCCCAAGTGCGGCGCGCTGCTGAACAACGGCATGGCCCCGCCGCCCAGCCCTCCCTCGCCGCCAGCGTGCCTGCCCTCGCGCGCATGCGCGCGCGTAAAGGCCCTGCTCTGTTGACTCTTGGCAAGAGGTTCGAGGCTTCGCCGCCCGTTCCCTCCCCCCCCCTGCTTGTGTCAGGAGGGAAAATACACAGACACAATGAATGTCCGATCCCCAGGAGGATATAGTAAAATTTGGGAAGTGGGGGGAAGACGAAATTCCAGAAAATATAGAATATGGGGAATCCTCGGATGTGTGTTTATTTAGTTGTGTGTCCCTGGACCCCTTCATTGTGGCCGCCCTCCCTCGCCTGGCCATCGCTCGCTTGTGGCCAGTGCGCATTGCTGCGGCCCGATTCGGCTCCGACCGCGCCGAGTGATCGCTGGCGCCGCAACCCTCGAAGCGTTTGTCGGCTTTCCCAGGCGTCTGCAGAGGCCTCCCGGGTTCTTGCCTTCTCCTCCTTCTCGTCCTCCTCCTCGTCCTCCTCTTCCTTATCCTCCTCCTCCTCCTCCTCCTTTTCCTCCTCGTCGATCCGCCTCCTCCTCCTCCTCCTCCACCTCATCGATCCGCCTCCTCCCCTATGGAAGGCCTCTGGCGGAGGTCTCGGAGGCCTCGGGAGGCATCGGGGGAGGCCTCTGGAAGCTCCTGTGCGTCGCCACGGTCGAACACTGCTCGGAGAGCGTAGGGCTCGGCTTCGCGGCCAGGATCGGTCGCGCCAGACCGGGCCGTGGTGCCCTTAGGGCCGCCAGTCGTGGGGCCTGGCCCTTTGGGAGGCCTGGCGTCTCTGGATCTCTTCATGCAGTGGCGCCGTGTCCTGGTTTGCCTATAGGCCCACCAAAGAATGTTATAAGATTTTGTTTGGTTTGCACGAGATGTGCTTAGACAATTCCTGGATGGGACAGTCTTATCTTATCAATCTTGCTTATGTTTAAGAACCGTGCTTTTGTTATCATGATATTGCTGGGTTCTAAGAACATGTCGTGATAGGCCGGTAGGAATGCCAGGACGGTCGATTCCTGCTAAATGTCTTGTTTTGTGTACCGAGCAGGCCGTGCTTGCGGCGCAGCTGCAGGCCTTGCACGATTTGTTGTGCCTCATCATTTCTCGCGAGGTGCGTTGGGCTGCCAACGACTTTGGGAATGGAGGGCAGCTGCTCGATCGAAGCAAGGTTTCAGGGTAGGAGCTGTACTGGTTCCCAGTGCCGTCAGGCCCCGGTAAGGATGCGGTTCTTTGCCAATGATACCCTGCACCATGGCACTGTTACGGCTTTGGCCAGTGAGTTTCAACACTTGCAACCTGGACACCCACGGCCTTTGCATCCTTACCTTGGGTCGTCATGACTGGCCCCAATTGTAGGCGTCGCAGGCTCCCACTGTTACGGGAATCGGCAGAGCTCGACAACTACAGACGGCCAGTGCCAGTGCCGCCTTTCCGCGAGGTGCATTCCCTCGCGATTCGCTCGTTCTAGAGGATCGGCTCAATCCCAGCAGCATGAGACATCGCACGATTATGTCGCCTGTTCCCACAACGGGCTGCCCAAGTAATCGAACTCTCGCCATCGTCGTCTTCGACGATCGAGGATCGGTGTCTTCGGGCGTCCTTGGGACGGTCGGGTCTGGTTCGTTTCTCGGCGCTCTGGTGGGCGGGGGGAGCCCCCGGTGGCGGGACGAGTTTCACTAGTTTGGCACTTTG